GGTATAAAAAAGGGATAAGAAAAAGGGGGAAGATAGAAAGGGAAAGAACTTATGAGGGACAAAAACAGGAAATAAAGAAAAAGAGGAAACATACTAGGATTAAAGGTATTTGCTCAGCTAGAAAACACAGAGACAATGGTTAAATTAAGTTAAAAGTGAGGATTCTGCAAAGGTACAAAAGATAGTGTTGTGACAGTAGAATACTTTAATGAGTTAGAAACGAAATAAGTAAATAATCTATGAGATAAAACTGTATTGTTATGTAATGGTATGTTTATTTATAATTAATGCAATACTAGAGGGAAACATTGCAATTGTTTCTTAAGATTGATAAAATATTGAAAAGAAATATGAAAGATTTATAAGGAAATTTATACCAGTTATTAGAATGAATTTGAATAATTATTTTGCTTATTAATAGTAAATAATTTATAAGATAAAACTATGACTATCCAATGGTATGCTTATAACAGTTAAGTAATAATGAAGAAGGGAGGGAAACATTTCAATTGTTCTCAAAGATTGATAAATATTGAAAAGAAATGTGAAAGATTTACAAGGTTCATACCAGTACTAAAATGATTTTGAATAATTATTTTGTTTACTAATGTTTATACATATATATTGTTTTTGCTATGTTTTTAGAATTTTTCTTTTTACATTTTCAAGGGAAGTACCAAGCAGAGTCTGAATGATGAGATCTACATGATATAAAATAGATATAAGAAATTTGAATGTTATAATGTTATAATTTTAGAATGCACAAAGTCAATGTTTAATGAAATTTCATATGATAATAAAATAAGATTTAAAGGTGTTGCACTTGGATTGGCAATCATAGGGGGAATTTTACTTCTTAAGAATGTTGGAAGAGAACATATGAAATTGTAAACAGGACTGACAAAAGTATAAGTACAATGAATAAAAAGATATAGAAATTGAATACAATTGAATAAGAAGAAAATGAGATAACCATCAAAGAAAATTAAAAGAAGTAAAGGGAGAAGTGAGAAGTTGGAAAAAGAGTAATAAGATATGACGTTGAATACATAAGTTGAATATGCATATGAAATTGTGTCTGTATGGAAATGTGATAACCCAGAATGATGCTATACTCAAATAAGATGTTTTATTTGTTTTGTTAAAACTCAATAAAACTTTATTTTTAAAAATAGAATGACTAAATGACTAAAAATAGTCATCAGAATGGATGATGATGATAATGATGGATTCTGATAAAATCTATTATATATCACTGATGCTTCCTTGCTTATATTCTGACCAAGGCTTCCTGAGACACCAACAAACACACATAAAATCCCAAATCCTTTTATTTTAGTTCAATGGCTGTGAATTATCATTATTCACAGCCCAGAAGGATTTTCAACTGGTTATAAATAGTCCCAGGAATGTCTGCCAAAGTTCTTCGGAAGAATTCTGATAAGAAAGCACCTTATGTGACTTGAAGTGCTGCCAACAACTAAAGTCCCAATTAGTCTTTCAAAACCAAAATGGAGAACAAATTAAACACGGAGCATTCAGAGTCCAAATGACATTGCTTCCTGCAAAGGTTCTCCTACCTTTGCACTTCCTTTATACCTTATGGGAGGGCAATAACCTCCAAACCTTACTCCCAAGTTGCCCCTTTTGTCTTAGCTGCTCTTGCCTTCTGGCAGCTCTGTGTGCACACACACTGGGAACAGGCTCCCCTTGTTCTTCTGCCTCACTGCTGCCAGATTCTGGAGGCTCTGGAGTCACCACATAACTCCCAGATGGTCCTGGCCCCATCTCTGTGTCAGATGCAGGACCCTCATCTGGTCCTCCCCAGACTCCCAGACTGGTCTCTATTCTTCCCCACTGTCTGTTTCTGCTGCTGTCTGCACAGGCTGCCAGCAAACCACAACAGCTTAATCTATTCCTTATTTTATTCTATACTGATGTTTCCAACAGATTTCTTTACTAGCTATTCTTATTTCTGCTGTCGAGTAATCCTCCATTTATTTCAATGCAGTAGGCCTTTCTATGGATTAAATAATATCTGAGTTTTGTTTTTTTTGCTTGGTTAGTTACCTAAAGTATCTTTCAGTTCATATATAAAGCTGAAAAATATTTAGTAGGAAACTGCTAGAAGCATAAAATTCCATCAAGGTTAGGTTTTGACAGGCCATATTATATATATGTATTTATATTTCTGGGCAGAAGTAATGAAAAATAATAGCAGACAAAATGTAGATACGATTCCTTGGAAGAACCCATGTTCTTTATTCTTTTTATTGTTTAATCTGATGTTCATTTCAAATAGAATAGATTCATTCCCACAAATATGTATGTTGCTTTATTATATTGTTTTCAACCCTGCATGTAAGATTATCCATTACAGTAGTTTTGCATATATTATATACTTCTTTGTATTATTAGCATTACCTAAATAACATCTGATGGGATGCCCTGATTAGCATGTAAATTGAACCATTTTTCTATGTTATATTAGAGTAATAGTTTATTCCTGAATACCAATAGTAGAAACTGCTTAAGTAAATAAGGAAAGCAAAATTAGTACCAAAGTGATGTGGATGCATTTGTCTCAAGCACAGAATGTTAGTGATTCATTTTGTTTAAAATGAAAGACTGTCACTCAGGAATAGAGACAGTTCATGAATGCAAAACAACCAAACCAGAATGTCTGAGGTTTAATCCCAGCCTTTTTCACAGAGAAAACTCAGATCTGAAACTCTGAAGAGTCATTATCTAGTCTCACTGAGAATATGTTTCCATTGAACTATATCTTAGAATATTACTAATTTTAATGCATTAATTATGTTGATATTGTATTATAACTTTTCTTATATATTGCTTTTTGTTTTGGGGTGGAGATATATATATATATATTCTTAAGTTTTTGCGGGTACTTACATGTATGGCATTCAACTTTGTTCGGGTATTTTCCCATGTCATTATAGTTGTGCTTTTAAAGTTGTAGCAACGTTTTGGCAGAATCTCATCTTCCATCATCAGGCTTCTGTATTTGTGTTCGTCTGTGAGTCAGACTTTCATGGTAATTTCAGTTTTAAATTTGGGACTAGCCTACTGCTGTGCCAGAATGGTTTTTTCTTCATCCTGATTGGTTGGGAGTCTTGGTCTGTGTTTATTGGTCTTGGAGTTTGCTGTGTTCTGCTTGATTGGTGTTTCTAATATCTTCTGTCTGTTTTGTGGCTTTTTTTGTGTCTTGATTGGCTAGCAACATTGTGTTCCTGTATTGGAGGCTTTTAGTGCAGCTTGGCTCCGAGTAAATGGACAGCTATCATTTATTAGGAAGCTAGGTTTCATCTGGGTGCCTGGTTGGGGTGTGTTTGAGCTGGAGGTATCAGGGGGGATCTGTTTGTGCCCAGGTGTTTGCCTGGCTTGTGGTGTGGAGATTTTTTTGTTTGTGAGTGCAGGCTTCCAAATGATTAACAGTCTGGTGGAATCATCTCTTCTATTAATGCTTTCAGGTCTTTTTCCAATCTCTATGGCTTCTCATAATTCTGTGGCTGGGGTTTTCTATAGTGGTTAGGGTTTTGGTGCCATTGAAGTTGATGCTATGACCTGTGGCTTCCATGTCTTGGACTAGTGAGGAAGTGTGTTCCAGCTTTTTGACTGCATTTTTGTGTTCATCCAGGTGGGTACTTATTCTTCTATTGGTCTGTCCAATGTATGTGGCCAGGCATGATGCACAGGGGACTTCATATATGCCTTGGTTTTTCAGGTCAATTTCATCTTTGGGGTTTCTAAGGATGGCTGCTATTTTTCTGTCTGTTTTGAAGGCAGTCTTGATGTGATGCCTGTGTAGTATCTTACTGATTTTGTCTGTAGTACCTCTTATGTAGGAGAAAAGATGGAACAAGATAGCATCAGATGAAACTCCAGTAGATTCCTCCCTGATACAGTGGGACATAAGAGATAAAATAGGACATAAGAGGGAAAGCACAGTCAGTCTTGCAACATTCTGTTATTACAATTTTCTCAGTAAGGTATAGTTCTCATCTTTCTGTGGAATCTATTTATGGTGGTCTGTCCCAAAGAGTTCAATTATTACAACTTACATAGAAATCCTTCTAGCAGACTTTTACGTGCTGTATCCATGATGGGTATGGCTTATACATATTAATCTTTTACTGAAGCTATTGAAACAAAAATGTAGCATGTTCAGTTTATGTCTTCATTCACTGCTATAACCAAACAATATGTAGTTTGAACATAATAAAATAATGAAGTAATAAGAATAATTTATCAGACTTGTTCACCACCCAACTCTTAAAGACTGGACAGGTCAAATCAATTTTTTAAAAATACAACGAAACATTAAAAACATTAAAAAAATAAAGATAAAAATGATAAGTGCAGTGAAGCGAGGAGTCTCACTCTTCCTCACCAAAGGCTGGGTGAAGAGTCTTCAGAGGGCTTCTGAACAAGAGCAGACTGAAAGCCATCCAGAGGTTAGAGGGAATCTTGTTTTAGAGGGCAGGCACTATTACAGAGAAGATACACCCCCAGGGTATCGATTTATGACATTTTTAATCAAAGGAAATCAGAGTTCTTCAACCCTACAGGATTGAATCAGGAAAATGTTAAGGGAGACATGCAGAACCTCTAGTAATCAGGCTCTATATCATGTAGGGCTTTATAGGTAAGTACCAGCACTTAAAATTGCACCCAGAGAAAACCAATGACAGTGCAGCTTACAAAGCAGAGATGTGACACGGGCATATCAAGGCATTTCCACTGCTGCTTGTTTGACTACATACTGGGCCAATGAAAGCTTCAGGGTGGTCTTCAAGGACAGCCTCGTGTGGAGGATATACTATTTTGTACTTTGCAAAGCATCTTTGCTACAGAAAAGGATTGGAAAATAATATATTTTAGCAACAAAAATATATATTTTAGCAGCACAACTAATCTTTTCACAATAGCTGGAAATATAACAAATATAATCCTAATACATTGTTTTGGTATTCTTTCAGGTAGACCACTCATGATAGTGGTTGAATACATGGAGAATGGATCCCTTGACTCCTTTCTACGGGTGAGGTATCATTTTCTCAGGACATCTGAATAAGAATCCATTCTAAGAAAAGGTTTTAAATCATTTATCCTATTAATTTTTCCCTAATGTTATTCATAGATTTTTACTAGAAGATTGCTTAAGGTAAATATCTTAGGTACAGTAATATAAAAGTACAGCCAGAAAGAAAAGAATATTTAAACTTAAGAATATAATTGATTCTTTATACAAATTACATTTCTATATTTAGGCAAATGTATTTTAAATGTTGCTAGTATGAAACAAAAAGACAATTGAAATATGAATTCCTTGCCATATGGCAACTGCTCATTTTACTCATCCATTTGAAAAGATGTTTTCTCAGTGGGGCTCTTTTCACTTTGGAAGTGTAGTATAGGTTAGTAGTTTATTTATAATTATTAACGGTTATTTGTGCTTAAATAAATTGAATTAGCAACCACTGAAGTGACTTGATGATCTAATCTTAATGCACTTAAAGTCAGTTGTAAATAAATGTAGGGAGCATAAAAAGAAAATTGTAACAAAGTTTTCAATTAATAACATGTGCACAGCCAGTGATGAATTCCCAATCTTTAATATATTCATAACTAATACAGAAAATAGTTTGTCCTATTGACATGTTGCCATAATATAAAAGATATCTGACATACAATTCTTATACTGCCCCCCTTCTGCTGTTACAAATGCTTTAAAAACTTACTAAAATATACTAGCTTAATTTAAGTCACGATAGCTATCTTCATAGTGCCAGAAGTTGTTTTTAGTTCACTTATATCTAATTTAGAATCTGTATGTCATGAACTCATGGAAAATGATTCATAAAAGTCTTTTGTTCATGATAGTTAAAAAAAAGAGTCAGAAAGAGATAAAGGAAGTTTTTTGGGCTATGTGATTGGGTTGGATTAATAGCTTTTGTTCTTAAACTGAACAAAAGAAATTGTCAACAGATTAATGACCCTAAAAAGATTTTCCAGATTTCCTTTTGATTAGAAAGGAGGCTTCAAGTCAGTGCCACCTATGGGATGTGTGCCATGAAAAGAAAAAAGGTTGAATGTCTGCCTTTCATTTAACCAAGGTCAGAGCTATGGAAATGGAAAGTGTGAAGGGGCACAATCTTAGTTTGGAAGGCTATTTGTTAGTTCTTTTTATTATCTTGTTTCTTCCTTTTGGTTTCTGAAAATAAAAGTATCTCAGAAGCCTCCTGCTGAAGTAGGATCCCTCTTCCTAATTAGATATGCCTGCCATTCACTTACTGAATGGGCATAAGGTCAGTTTTGACTGAAAAAGGGAGCTGTTTCCTACATATATTGTTTATGACCTCTGGACCATAAAGCTAAAATGGGGGAAATGTTTAAAGTCATATAATAAAGACAAAATGAAAAAGTGGAGACAAAATAGAATTGAGTCAACAATATGGTTTAGCAAGAGTTATATATTCATCACTACACTCATAACAGCCTTCAAGCAACAGACCTTGCGTGAAATGGACCACTCTATTCCAATTAATTTGCATAATGATGATATTATGCAAATGACACACATTGATTAAAATGAGGTTATGTGGCATTTCTATAATGATGAAATTACACGAATAACACAAAATGACATGGATGGTGTACACTCTGGCCTAGTGAAAATTTGTAAATAACAAACATCTGCCTAAATTAGTCTATAAAGATTAGAAACAGTCAAAAATTATATATTGGTGATTGGTAGAGCATAATCCTGATATTTTCCATCAGAATTGAGGAGAAAAGGTCTGCTTGAATATCTGCGAGTGTATGCTCATCCAAATAGTCTCTATTGGTAACAGTTCATGCATGGTTTATATACAAGGTTTCCACAAGACACTAAACTAAACTAACAAACCAGGTTATTTAGCATTTTATGTACATTAAGCGTAAATATTAAGCATCTCTTTTGTCCATTCTTCTGCAGTTGGTACATGCTTCAGTCTTCAATATTTAGCAGAAGAAATACTTGCAGTGCCTAAAATACATGCAATGTTATCATACTAGGGTTTTTGTTTTGTGGATATGTAAAATTAAGACAAATTAATATGTGTGAACAAGTTTAATGGATTTTGAAATGGAGGGGGCTGCTGTTATTCTTTGATATAGGTATGTCATCAAGCTTTTTATGTCAAAATATAAAACTGAAATAGATACACTGCAGATATATTAAAATAGCAAATCTCCTTTTGGGGAGATATACAGTATATTAAAGCAAGGTATCTTGAACTATTTACCAAACTTCAAGAAACCTTGAGAAGGAAAGATGAAAAATAGTTATCTATGAAGCAGAAAAGTTAGGATATAGGGCTGTACATTGAAACAATGTACAATGTGTACAATGGAGCAGCTCTTCTATAATTCCCAGTGTAGCATTGCTATTAACCTCATCTTCCTGACAGCTAGAGGTTACACACTTAAGTAGAAGCCCTGTGCTAAATAACAGTTGAGAAAGAAGAGACTTCCATAAAATGAAGCCATAAAGTGAGTGCTCTAAATCCATCTAAGTTAGCTTCTCTACCTTAGATTGGATGAAGAGGTTAACATGATGCTGCAAAGCGTAATAGTCAGTTTTATTTGTCAGTTACAAAAGTACTTAAAAAATAGAGCCTGTCTCTATCTCTTTTTTCCCCGTAATACACACACAACAAAATGTTTGATTTCTCCCTCCTTATTTTTATTCACGTCTTTTCCTTCTTTTGTTATTTTTAAATTATAAAAGAAGAAACAAAGCTGAAAAAAGAAACAAGAACACACAAGACTTATTTTTGGAGACCTCAAGAAACTTAAGCCATGATCCTTTACAGTTATCCATAGCCGATCTGTATTATCAATTCTGCAAACCACCAAATAATTGGAGGCAGGTGTTTGTCTTTCTGATGCTGAACACAAGTCAATATATCTATTTTCTTTGCTCAGAACTGAAAATATTAAATCTTAAAGCAAAGTCAATACATATAAGCCTTCTTAACAATATGAACAATATATATAAATAAAGCATTAATTTCACAGCATTTTCAACAATATAAATAAAATGAGTTCATTTCTATACTTGTCGAAAAAAATGTAATCTAAATATCCATGACAATGGTTAGCAGATTTGTGTTGGTTTGTTTATGATTTCTTGTTTGGTCTTGGTTTTAGTTTTGGGTCTTGGTTTTGGATGATGATGATGATGATGATAATGATTATTTTAAACAATTTGTCTTTTTCTTCAAAAATTTAAACACCTCAATATAAGTGTCTTAGCTGGCTTTGTTGGGTTTTTGCCCTGTCATACAAATTTAGAAATATCTTTTTTGCCATTGTTTAAATGGTGTTTTCATAGTCAATATTAGTACTAATCTGAAATAACAATAACATTCTGGATAACACATTAATCTTAATCGCTGAAATTCTACCCAGCAATGACAATTGAAGTTTAGCCTACTTTATTAAATCCTTCTTAATTTCCTTTCATATCTTGGTATTTTTAATTCCAGGTAATTATAATGGCATTTGTAACCAGATCTTTCCTATAGTAATTATTTTTGAAATTAAAAAAAGTTTTGATTGTGATACTAGTAGTGAAACCATTGGACTTATCCCACCTTTTAAAAAAAGTATAGAATTTTTCTAACAATATGTCTCTTCAGATTCTTGCCTTTTTTTTTCTCTGTATCATAAATCTCTGTGGAGCCCATTGGCTTAGCCTGGTACTTCTATAGTTGATATGTTTCTATTAGACAATGTTTTTTGTTTTATCCATAACAGACAGTTTGCTCCATAATATAATCTGACTGGAAGAAAGCTAATCCAGTTTTCTCTTTTCCATCTTGCAAAAGTTTGAATGATACTCTTTTTTTTTCTATTCCATGTAAATATATTAATTGTTCTGCAATTTTTTTATCTGGGATTTGAATTAGTGCCATTTCAAATAAGAAGTTTATACAGAGTAATATTTACATTTCTATTGTCATTGTAGCTCCCAGCCAGGAAAGTTTTAAGCTTTTCCACCTTTCTTGTTTTATCTCTTTCTGTAGTTTATTGTAATTATTTCAAAATATGTCTTTGTTGCATCCTGTCAAGTCCTAAATGTTTCACTGCATCTTTTGTTATTTCATACTGAGATTCTTTTTACATAGAATGTTCTTCTCTAAAAGATAAATGCCTTGCTATTATCTTTGGTTTTCTTTCATTGATTATATTTGGAAAAGCAATGAAAATCTTTGAGTAATTTCATCCACAGCTATGGATTCATAATATGGTTTCATGATTATGAATATTGTATCTGCGTAACGTTTCATCTTGTATTCCTTAATTTTGATGCCAATTATTTGTTTCTTTGTTTATTGGATCTTGTTGGCCAAAACTACCACAACTTTTACCAATAGTAGAGGATAGAGAGTTGGCATTCTTGTTTTGTACTTAAATAAACTTGTGGGGGGAGGGGAATCATAGCGTAGTCACTCCATGGAAAAATTTTAAGGTATCAGATAGTCCTCAATCATAATTGAGCTCAAAATTTCCATTACAGTTTCCAAGACAGTTGCTAAGTGAGTTTATTCCATTTTACAATCTTTCTTGCCACAGTTGTTTAAGTGAATCACTGTAATTGTTAAGTTAGTAACATGATTGTTAAGTGAATCTGGTTTCCCCATTGCCTTTGTTTGTCAGAGGTTGGGAAAGGTGATCACATGACCCCAGGACACTGCAATCATTATAAATATATGTCAGTTGCCAAATGTCAAATTTTGATCATGTGACCATGGGGATGCTGTAAATGTGAAAAACAATCGTAAGTCACTTTTTCAGTGCCATTGTAACTTAGAAAAGTCACTAAAAATGGTTGTAAATCAAGGACTACTTGTAAAACATTTAAACATGAGTCAAAATTAGTTCTAATATGAAAATTGTATTTTGAATATAGAATCAATGTTGGACAGTTTTGGTACACATGATAACCTCCATTAACAAAAGAAATAATTGTTCTTCTCACTAAATATTTGG